CTTGATTTCAAAATTGCTGATACTTTCTTTCCTTTTAAAAAATGTATTTTATTTTAGAGCAGCTTTAGGTTCCCAGGAAAGCAAAGCTGAGAGCATAGACATTTCCCTCATTCACTCCGCCCTACACAGACATAAGCCTCTTGTTATTAACATATACTGAGGCATAGGGAGGCGACTCAGGCCTACAGAGACAAATACTACGTGTTCTCCGAGAATCCTAGCTTTAAATCTTTTGTGTGCTCAACTTGGAGCACAAATGGAAGCCAGGAAGAGAGGGGTCTTTGTGTGGGGAGTGTCGTGTTAACAAGGGGAGGAGGGTAGTAGATTCTAGGTAAAACAAGGAGAGACGTGGAATACTGGGAATTGTGGGGTGGGAGGAGGGGAGCCCAGAGGAAGGGCGTCTGGAAAGGCCTATGTATGCAGACTCTCTCACAGCTCAGTTAGAAGATATGATTGGATGGATGGTAGAGTACATGTGGTGTGAAGGAAGAGGGGGATACTGGGGCTAAATGATTAGGTGGGAAGGTATGGGAAGAGGGGGAGACGTGGAGTTAGTGGGTGTGTTAACTGCAGCTAAGCATGTATGTAAAAGCCTCATGGAAGCCCACCAGTGACACTGTCCGTTCATGAAAGATAAATCCATTCAAATTCTGTTTTTAGTTTATATTTTAAAATAAGCTTACTACTAAAAATAAGACTGCTAACTAGTGGGTTTCCATAGGAGGGAACTTCATGCCTGGCACTGTAATCCTGGTTTAAGAGCCATGGCCGGGGAGACCATAGACCTAGGGTAGGTATTTGTTATTTTGCTCAATGGTCATGTTGTCAAATTGCCTTCTAAGTATGTGGAGATGCCGAGAACAAGATCCCGAGAGCTCAGTGCTCAGTCTTAAGTGGGACACCTACACCCACCCTGCCCACCCCCACCCAGGGAACAGCTCAGAAGAAGAGGTAGAAAGAATGTAAGAGTTGCGGATGGGGAGCCGTGCTGTGAAATGCTGTCTTCAGGACATGGTTATCACACTCATGAGCTCACAGGAGCTGAAGTTACCTGCACAAGACCTGCAGACAAAGTTAGTCAAAATTCCTGCATAGATGGGGTGGGTGATCCCTATGGCCCTATGGCCCTATCACTTAGCAAGGAGCTATTGGCAGGTGGTACCTGCTGGAGGAGGGAGACTCATTCTTTATTGAGGGTGTGGCCACTGGTAGGTTGCCCATGACCCACTGGATGGCCCCACACCCATCACATATGGGCAGCACTAACTAGACTCAGTGAGTTGTCAAAAGAAAGCTTGAAACTGGGAGGGGACATGTTGGGGGATGTTGGGGGCGTTGAAGATGGAAATCGTGGGTAGACAGGACCACATTTCATTGTATATAGGTATAAAATACTCCAGAATAAAGAAAATACTAATTAAAATAATTCTTATGACTTCATTTTTATCAGTTCTTTCAGAATGTCATGCAAAGTATTTTGATCATATTCACCTCCCAACTCCTCCTAGGTCCACCCCTCCCTATTTTGCTACCCACCTAACTTTGTGTGCTCTTTAAAAAAAAATCCCTAGGGCTGGAGAGATGGCTCAGCAGTTAAGAGCACTGGTTGCTCTTGAAGAGGACCCAGGTTCAATTCCCAGTGCCCACATGGCAGCTAACAACGGTCTGTAAGTCCAGTTCCAGGGGATCTGACACCCTCTTCTGACCTTAGCGGGCATTGCACAATACAGGAGCACTTACATACATGTAGGCAATACACTCATCTGCATAAAATAAAATTTTTTAAAATCCACTGAGTCATTGGTGGAAAGAACATAAGAGCCAGGAGACCCCTCTTTCACCATTTTCTGTGGCTTTCAGGAAGTCACAGGATCTGTATTTGAGTGTGGACTTTCCAGTGCAGCCATAAATGGGGGACGCCCACTGCTCTGTAAATAACCCCCCACCCTATGCTCTGTTAAAAAAGAGAGAAGGAGAATGATAGGTGTTTGGATAGATAGATGAGAGGGATCTGACTAAACCGCAAGTGGATGGACGCACTGGGGACCGTCTGGGCACACTGACTTGACACAGTGGGCCTTAACACCCAGGGCAGAGTATATGGGCTCCAGTGGGGGGCTATGGGAAGTGCTGGTGGGGATGGGGCTATAAAGATGATTCAGATTGTTTAAGATATTCTGTATGAAGTACAACAAAATTTAATAAAAATAAATTTTTAAAAGTCCACTGAGTCCAATTTGTGCTGCTCATATATTATTGGCTGTGTGGCCATCGACTAGAGTGCGGTGGACCTGACAGGGGCCACACTCTTATTATGATTAAAAACCCCACTAGAATGGTATATTTGTTATAATTGATAAACCTATGTTAACATGGTACATTTTGACCGTTTGGACAAGTGAATGACATGTATCAATCATTATAGTATCAAATAATAAATAGTTCACAGCCCCTCAAATCCTCTGTGCTGTCTCGGACACAGTTCCATGATCAACAAAGTTTAGATTCTTTGTTCTTACTAATTCCTAGTCTGATTTTTAAGTTATTCTCTTCTATCTCATATTCACTTTCCTCTCTTGACTCTTCCCTACCACTTCCTCAAAGAAACACACATACAGATATATTGCATGCAGCATGGTTGGACTAAAAGCTTATAGGTCACAAAGAGGGATTAGATCCCTTGTCAGAGAAGAAACAAACAAGTTAGGCACTACGACTTCTTGTAAGAGCTTCCTTAGAGGTAGGTGCCCTCACCAACGATGTCACTGCCCCTGTGTCCTAGCCTTCTCTCCTTTTAGTCTAACTCAGTCTCAGCCCTTCCTCATTATGGAAGAAAAAAATTCTCCAATTATTATATGGAAATAAATTCACCCATAGTTCCATATTTGAGTCTTTTGCATCATTAAAGGGGTTAGAAAAGAATGCATGCTTCATGCAATACAATCCAGTCTTTTAAAAAATTAATTTTGGCTGGAGAGATGGCTCAGTTGTAAGGGGACTGGCTGTTCTTCCAGAGGACCCAGGTTCAGTTCCCAGCACCCACATGGCAGCTGACAACCATCTATAACTAGTTGCAGGGAATCTGACGCCCTCTTCTAGCTTCCATTGGCATTGCACAACATGGATGTACTTATATACATGCAGGCATAACAGTCATACACAAAATAAAAATAAATAAATTTAAAAAACAATTTGAGCATGTAAAGTAACGGATCTCACTATGGCAGTTTGACACGTATATGTAAGCGTGCCTTTCTTTTGTTCCCTCCACTACCCTTCCTCACCCCTCTCCCCAATGTGTCCCCGTCCTCCCCACCAGATATTCCTTCTGCTTCATTTTATGATACAATCCATTCTTTTAAACAGTGTTAAATATGGATATAATTATGGACTACTAAGATTATTCAAATTTTGTCAATAACTGCAAAGAAATACCATCACACTCAAATTGTAGATGGGAAAAATGAAGCCAAGAAATACTCATTTACATGATGCAAAGCTTAATATATGAGCTAGAACATGCTGAGTCCTGTATTTGGCTCTAGGTTTGTGTTAAGCTTTGCTGTATAATAACCATGCTAATGCTTGTATTTTTCCCCACTTCATTTTCAGCTCACTGACAGATGACATGGACAGAAATGCTCTTGGGTTTTATAGCAATCTCACAATACTGACCTATATCTAACATGGGTACTCAGTAGTTGCAGAGTAGAAAGACTGAGGTAAGGTATTCAAAAAAACATTTAAGCACAATGTCTCAAGTCAGGAGACATTCACTCTCAGGACTGAGGTTTTGAACACACACAGGAGGGCAGGGAAGCCATATGATGACCCATTTCCTCTGGAAGGTATGGTATTCTATGGTCCCAGTAAGCCCGGAGATGAAAGACAGGGAAAACACAACACAACAAAACAGAACGAAACAAAACAACAACAAAAAACAACTCAACAATCGACTTATGGAGGTGATTTATTGGTTTGATGGAACCATTGCATTAGGTCACTGAAAGAGTCTATAATAGATCAGA